TCGGGAAAAATATGCTCGCGAGTTGCCACACAAGGTCGGTGTGGAGGACTCTAACCGTCCCCAATTCCCATACATGTTCGACTGAACGAGGAAGGGGCGGACAAACCATTCGCCAACCCTACCTTTTCTCGTAGTCTAGTTGGGTCTCTTCAGTATTTGACCAACACTAGACCTCATATCCAGTTTGCTGCGAGTCACGTTTGGCAGCGCATGCCTGCTCCCACTGAACAGTTTTTCCAATCCTTAAAGAGGATTATGCGCAATGTTTAAGGCACCCTACCATTGATAGAGGATTGGTGTTTCACCGTGGGCCATTGAATTTACAGGCATACTCTAATTCTGATTGGGCGAATGACATGATAAATGGCCGCTCTATCACTAGTTACCGAATTTATTTAAGCCCTACCCTTATATCCTAGAGCACGGAGAAGCAAAGCAGAGTCTCTAGGTCGTCCACCGAGACCGAATATCGAGCCCTCTCGTCTGGTGTGTCCAAAGTCATATGGCTCTCCTATTTGTTTGAGATTTTGAAGATTAAGCTTCGTCCTCCACATCGTTTCTGTGATAATTAGTCAGCCATCTGCCTGACTAGGAACCTTGTTTTCCACAAACGCATGATTCATGTCGGCACTGGCTACCATTTTGTTTGGGAACAAGTGATTGATGAGATGATGACTGTTTTCTATGTTCCCTCTGTCGATCAGATGGCGGATCTCTTAACAGAACCACTACCTTCTCCTCACTATACAACTCTAGTTTCAAGCTTTCTCTCGTTTCATGTCGTTCACCTTGAGGGAGGATGTAAGACAATAATAGTAATTATATAATTTATTGTAGTATTTGTTATATAATCTTCATTTATTAGTCAGCTTTTATAATAGGCTGAGTCCTAATTATGTAAGGATATCTCCTATATATATGCACACATGTACTCCCTGTGTCCCCCATAGATCTTTCCAATAGCCCTTTTTCTTTGTCCACAATAGATCTTCTCATTTCATTTTTTTAACAATTAAAATACCACAACTACCCCCACTTACTTCATTTATTACACCTCACCCACCTCATTTAATACGCTTCACCCATTTTCATTAAGGGTATTATGGTAAATTTTCACCTTTTTTCAACTCTCCTTAAAAACCACCAAAAGTCAAAATGAGAACATCTTAGGGGGACGGAGGGAGTATATTTTTACTCTTTTGAGTGAAATTCATAATTCAATATTCAACAAAAAGAATTCAAATTTATTTCTAAGGTTGTTCAAGTTTTAAACTCGTAATTTTTAAAAATGATTTTATTTACAAATTCATATTGTTTAAAAAAAAATAAGATTTACATATTAAAAAAACTAATTAAAATGCCGAGTAGTTTTCAAACAAATAATTACGAAGAAATGGAACCCAAAAGTGTACTAAAAAAAGTGTGGCAGCATAATTCAATATTCAACAAACAGAATTCAAATTTATTTCTAAGGTTGTTCAAGCATTAAACTCGTAATTTTTAAAAATGATTTTATTTACAAATTCATATTTTTTTAAAAAAATAAAATTTACATATTAAAAAAACTAATTAAAATACAGAATAGTTTTCAAACAAATAATTACCCAGAAATAGAACCCAAAAGTGTACTTAAAAAAATTGTGGCTAAGAAATTGAACAACCTTTATTTCTAAGGTTGTTCAAGCATTAAACTCGTAATTTTTAAAAATGATTTTATTTACAAATTCATATTTTTTTTAAAAAATAAAATTTACATATTAAAAAAACTAATTAAAATACAGAATAGTTTTCAAACAAATAATTACCCAGAAATAGAACCCAAAAGTGTACTTAAAAAAATTGTGGCTGCTGGGATTCGAGCCCAGGTCTCCACGGCCACAACGTGGAATTCTGACCACTAAACTACAGCCACAATTGCTTTTCTTCTAGAACAAAAACATTCTATTCTTTAAAGTAAAATATTTACTAAAACCAGTACCGAACTTAAGGCCAAATAGCTCTGGTGCCCCTGTGGTTTGGAAAATTGGCACCAAAACCCCCTCTGTTTTCAAAACTTATTTCTAAAGTCTCCGTGGTTTCAAAATGTTGCACCCACACCCCCTCTAATCATTTTCCGGCCATTTTCCGGCGAAGAGGGGGCATTGGCGCATAATTTCTAAACCATAGGGGGCATTCGTACTCATTTCTTATTTTAGTTTATTATTTGTGTTTTCCCTTTTTTTGAATATTTTGTATCTCTTTTTCCTTTTCCTAGATTTTTTTTAAAAATATATTTTCAATTTTTATAATGTTTTGAAAATTTTAAAATTCTTTGTGTTTGAAATAAAAATAAAAATAAAAAAATTTGCATTACATCTATCTCAAATTAAACATTTTCAGTTTTTTCTAGAATAATTTTTTGGAAAGTTTGAAAAAACCCAGAATAAAAAAAAATACGGAAAAACAAAATGAAAAAAATTAAAATACGCAAAAAAAGTCTTATACAAAAAAATTTGGACACGCCTAAAAAAGTCCTTAGAATTGAGATGTCCAAAAAAGATATTCATTTTAATTTTTGTATTATTTTTTTCTTATTTTATTCCTCATTTTTTCAAAGTTCTCAAAAACAAATTCTTTTTTTCAGAAAAAAAACAAAAATTGTTAATTTCAGACGTACATATGCATGATACGGAGTATTTTATTTTTTCAAACAAAAATAACTTTAAATTTTAATAATATTATAAAATCACTTTTAAAAAACCCTAACTAATAAATGAAACAAAAAAAAGGAAAAATGGAAAAAACAAAAAATAAACGAGAAATAAAAATCAGCACTGATACCCCTATGGTTTAGAAAATATGCACCAATGCCCCCCTCTTCGCCGGAAAAATGGCCGGAAAATGATAAGAGGGGGTACGGGTGCAGCATTTTGAAACCACAGGGACTTTAGAAATAAGTTTTGAAGATAGAGGGGGTATTGGTGCCTGTTTTGCAAACCACGAGGGGTACCGAGGCTATTTGGCCCCGAACTTAATTTACACTTTAGCCTTGTTCTCTACCATTATACTCTCACCGAGTCACCGTCCTTAAATTAGTTAAATGAACTACATTTTATGTATAATAAAAAAATTAATATTTTTAAATCTATTTTATTAAAAAATTGATTTAGAATGAAAAATTAAAACTTACATATTTAAAAAGTACATAAAAGATTTTACAAAACAAGAGGTTATAATGTTTTAAACATAGAGATCATATAATGTTTACCCCCAACCATGCAATGGGGTAATGTTGTACGTAGTATCTCCCTCTGGTATCAACCTTAATCTTGATTCTATTCCTCAAATAAGATAGAATTCTCAAATAAGATACTCGCTCTGTCCCACCATTTCAATATGAAAACACATGCCAAGGTGATGAATAGAATGACACAATTACCCCCAGCTCACCCAAATTTATCAACTGCCCCGACCTCTTAATCCTTCATCACCCCTCCACGATATCCACCGGCCACTCAACCCCAACCCCACCTTCCTTCCCCATATCCAATATTAAAGAAAAATAATATCCCTCTGTCCCTAAATAAACTTCCATTTTTGACATTTTGAAGAATTAAGTGAGGGATATTTTTGTGTTGACTTTCCAAAAATACCCTTGATGTGATGTGTAAAAGTAAAACGTGATAGGTAAATTATTAGTAAAAAGGTATGATGTGATAGGTAGGGTATGAAAAAGTAAGGGGTAAAATAGGTTTTTTAAAGGAAAAGAGAAGTTTATTTGGGGACAAAGAAAAAACGAAAGAGGAAGTTTATTTAGGGACGGAGGGAGTAGCTCGTTACGAGATTGGTGCTCTTGATCTGCTCAGATCTATGGAAGAAGAAACATGGTTTTAGATCTATGGAAGAAAAGATTCAAATGATGTGAAAAAAAATCAGAGAAGAAGACTAGGAGAGAATTAATTAGAAAAAAAGATTAGGAGGAGAGGGAGAGAATTGGAAAAGGAAAAAGCATGAAAGGAGGAGAAAAAGAACGGAGAAGATAACTGGGAGGAGGAGAGATGAATTTGGAGAAGAAACAGGGAGGAGAACAATCAGAAAAAATAAGAAGACACTGGGAGGAGGAGGAGGAGGAAGACGGGAGAGAAAGAAATTTAGAAGAAGAGGGGAGGGAATGTGAATGCCAATGAGGGCAGAATGGACTTTTTCATGCCTTTTTAGTTTCCATTAAAGAAAAGTGGACAAATACAATGAAACAGCCTAAAAAGAAATACTGGACGAATACTACGAGACGGAGGGAGTATTTGCTTTTAATTTTTTAAAAAAAAAAGATCAAGCGGAGTTCTCGTTTTGGGAAAAGTGGTCCTCTCACGAGTGAAGAAAAATCTTGCTTGCAATATTTGACTGAAATTATTTTTAGAGTAAATTCCATAATTGGTCCTTTATAACAGGGAGGTTTCCATATTTAGTCCTTTATTAGCAAATATTATCCTCATAGTCCTTTTTTTAATGGTGTCTTTCCACAAATGGTCCTTTTTTGATCTTCTACCATTTTGATGTTAATTTATAGGCTAAAAGTATAACTTGATATCAATATTATGTCTAGTGACGTGTTCTGATATTGGTTATGCAGATAACACAAAAATAATGACAATGATTGTGGGCTAAGATTTCAACGAAACACCACATTTTTAGATTATGATTGTAGTAGAAAGCGATTGTAATTCACAAACGGCGCAAACGGAATAGCCTTTAGAATTGTGTATGACAAAAAAGATATATTATCATTGTTAAATTACACTTTTAGCCATTAAATTAACACCAACATGATAGAAGATCAAAAAAGGACTATCTGTGGAAAGGTACCCATAAAAGAAGGACCACTGGGGTAATATTTGATAATAGAGGACTAAATAGGGAAACCCCTCTGTTATAAAGGGCCAATTATGGAATTTACTCTTATTTTTAATTTATTTTATTTTAAATTTGGCATATAGATAAATAAATATACTTAGTATCTAAAAAATACCTCAAAAGATTTATAAAATAATTGATGACATGACTATTTTAAGCCTTGTGAATGGTGATTTAGGCTTTTATTTTGAGACATGGGGAGTATGATTTTCCACTAAATCCCCTTTTTAGCACTTATGGAACACACAAATATAAACTGAGACACACATTGTTAATTGACTAAATTGTATATGCACAAAATAAGTTTGATCAACAGAACAAAAGAAACCATATATCATGGCCTCTAGAACATGGAACATATACATTAAAACATCTTCAAGTGAGGGAGCAAGTGAGATTTTCAATGTGTTACTTCACCCATCAAATACAACTTTTGACCATCATTTATCGTTTCTACATCAATAATTTTACCTCCCTCTTCTGTTAGCAAGAAAGAACCCGAAGGGCAGCCGAGTTGTTGTGAAGCAGTTTCAACTAGCTCTTCCACACCCTGAGGAACCAACAAAACAACACCGTGCTTTCTGCCATCTTGTGTGTGAAATGGAAACACGGTGCACTTCTTGCGGGTCATTTTCCCTGTTTTAATTTTCTCATTAATAGAACCATATGGTCATTACTTTGAATAGAGGTAGGTTAATATGATAATAAATTTCCCAAATTATTTGACCCTGTACCCTTTATTTGGTCCCAAAATAATTGTCATCTTAGGAATTCAATGCATATTTATTTACTAGTCTCTAAAATTTTCCCACATTAAATGTTTTTGTATCTTGAAAAGAAATAAAATGCATTTCACATTAAACTTAAGTAAGGATAGGATGGTCATTTTCTAAAATTCCCTCGTTTGTGTGCACTTCTCAAAAACGCTAACTATTGATTTGGGATGGGCAAATATAAATCTGCACAAGATGTGCATGTGATGGCATTGCACTACATCTCATGGCGTCTTACCTAACCGTTTCTTTATGTGGTCATTTTAAGTGGAATTTCAACAATACCTTTAATATCTTCCAAGCATCCGGGGAATTTGGACAGTTCAGCAGATTTTGCTTCTTCCAGAAGTTCAATGAGCTGTTTGTTCCCAGTTTCTATAGCTTCATCAACTGCAGTGTTTCCCCATCTGTAAGGATATGAAGTAATTCAGGTACATACTTTTTAAGCAAAACAGGGAACTAATAGCATGCTAGACCTATCTTTAAGGACATCAAAACTTTATTCATCAGTCTCTAGTTCATTGCATACCAGCTTGTGAATTGTGAGATCTCATATACTCCCTCTGTCACATTCTTAATGTTCAGTTTACTGTTAATCGCCAACTATCTCTCTTTTCTTCTTGTATTTTGTTACACGTTTTTTTATAACTGATTTTGGTTGTGTATGTTTAGCCCCTACTTCTATTTAGTTTATAAATATATAAATTTTACTCTTTCCGTCCTAACAAAAGACTCTGGGACGGGACGATCAGACTTCTACCGAGTATTTTTTTGCTTTGGCTAAAGTAAACATATTTAAATTTTTCAAAATTATCTTTCAATAAAAATCTGCTTCTTACGTTGAAATATAGGGAGTATCTTTTTTCCTGATGCTAGGACGGGACGATCAGACTTTTTAAAGAGAGAAAGTACTAACTAATACTTTGTAATAAAAAAATTATTACCCAAAGCTTCATTCTTGTTACACAAGTAGAAAATCTATTTTGGGAAGGATGGAGCATACAATAAGGAAAAGAATTGCACCTGTCCTTTAAGAGAACAGAAGCACCAGCTTCTAAAAGCAGCTTTGCCATTGCAAATGAGCCTTGAGAAGCAGATACGTGAAGTGGTGTCTGGTGATTATAGTCTTTTGAGTTTGAATTGACACCACTAGATAATAATCTTCGCAGCAGATCAGAGTCACCTCTTGCAACAACGTTACACAAGAAACTGCCGACATGGTCAATCTTCAACATGGCCCCCTCTTTAACAAGTAATGAAGCAACCCGATCATGCCCGCTCTTGATGGCTTCAAGTAGGGGTGTATTTCCAAAGTTATCTATAAAACAAAACCAAACAAAACAAAATTACTGCAAAGCTCTTTTATATAGCACATAGGTTTCTTACAAGTTTAGAGCAATATCTGTTGAAAGCAAAAACCTAGTGATATACCTTGAGCATTGAGATCAACACCTTCTTGTATAAGATATAGAGCAATAGCTTCATACCCTCTGGATGCAGCAAGATGCTGGAATGAAGTGAGAATCTTATTAAACGTACATGTTTTATTTTACCTTCATAATGCAAGACTTGTTTTGTTTGGATATATTAAGCCACTTTGTTATGAGTGAGGCAGTGAGCTAGCTCAAAATATAGTAAACCACAGGGGCTGAAATAAAGTTTGTCCTGTCATAGACATTCATACCAAAGGTGATCTTCCATCATAATCTCTCTTGTTGGAATCAGCTCCAGCTCGAATAAGAGTTTTAAGCTGATGCAGATCACCATGATAAGCAGCACTATTAACTTTCAGTGCAAGTTCACCCTCCTGCTTCCCTATATGAAACGTGATATCTGATTCCAGTTGCTTTAATCCTATCTTAGAGTCTTTTGCCTGAAATTCAGATTTTTTATAGATCACTCACATAGAAGTGACGTCAATAGCACAAAATTGTAGTGTACAAATAAGCAAGCAGTATTATAATATTTTTCTAAGTGAAAGGCATAGGAGCACCTGCATATTTGAGAATAAATAGTTCTAAAAATTGATTACGAGACCTGATCTCAATAATGTGAATGCTTGGAACATTGCACTACGTATTAGAGATAATATTAAATAATACTCCGTAATACTGAATACACCATGGTTCTTTTCATAACTTCATGCTAAATAAACCAGCACGGACAACCATCTATGCTTGGCAAACAATCTCGAAAAGAGCACTACTCAAATTGAATTTGTTTGGCTACACCCCATAGCCCCTACTTGTGCATGCATGCACATGCGCGCGCATGTATATATAAAAACACATATGCAAAGAAAAGAGAGGCTAAAGGCAACATTGGGGGTCATTTAAGTTAGATTACCTCTAGTAAGTTAGTCAAGATTCTTCTTCCATCGTGAAAATAGATGTCAAGAATATTAGAGAAGGATTGTTTATCAATCCGAAGGAGTCTGCACAGTTCACAAACACGAACAGTATATGGTTGAGGGATGTTGCAAAGAATAGAAACTTCTCCAAAGGAGCCATGGGTCTCCAAAAGAGAAATTCTCTCTTGTGTTCCATCTTTCCCAATGCTAACTTCCTCCTATACCAATACGACAAACACTACATCAACAGAAGTTTAAGCTCTGGTCCAAACAAATTAACAAATCAAAACAACTCTAACCCTTAGTTGCAATAGATCTGCAAGGATGAAGCCACATAAAGGTGATAAAACTTTCCACAAGTAAGTTGATGTGCCTATATTATAGTGTGAAAATTTGTGCAGCTAGAACTTGATACGAACTTCGGTAGAGATTTGACTAAAAAATTATGGATAATCCAATCATTGAAATTGTAGAATAATATGAATCGAGTTGATGTAAAGCTCACAGCTTCATAATTCCCAAAGACTATTACGATGCTTATATAGCACACAGATGGTTTAATCATAATAGGAATTGAGAACCTAAACCTATAGAATGACAAACCACAATGGTTCTAGAGCTGGGGTTACTATATTTCAATACCTTCAAACTCGCTTTGCCCCGGAAAAGGTTCCAAGACTCTTTTTTGGTTTGAAGCAAAGTGAGTTTTCACTTTCCTTTTAAGAAAGGAATCATGTGGAACCTTATTCTCCATGAAAGTCAAAGACTTTTTCAGTTTTCAACACTTTTCCTAAACTCCATGAAAGTCAAAGACAAAAGTTTATTTAAAGAACATTTGGGATATTAAAATTAGAGTATCCAGAAGGGTTGCTCTCTATCTCTCTACCATGGCGAAGAGGAAAGGACGACTGAAGAAAAACAATGAGATAATCAACTCTGTAGAACAACAATCGAACATAGGGAAAACTATTGTAACCTCCGGCAGCTCAACGAACACACCAAAAGAAGGTGAATCTTCAAAGAAGGCAGATATAACTACACCTGAAGGAAATGGAGCCGGATCGAAACAAGAGGTCAGATCGGAAAAGGTGAAAGAGAACACATCAGGTGATCAGAAGAAACCAACATATGCATAGATCCTGGGATCTAGCGAGGTACAGACAGATCTATCCTTTTATCAATTTGAGGAAACGGGCAAAAACTAGCTAGATTTACTGAGGAAGATGTGATTGAAGCTGATGGTGTATGGGATCAAGCAGTTTTATGCTATATACTAGGGGCAAACCCTCCTATTGAGGTAGTCAAGGGTTTCATAGCGCGAATATGGAAGGAATATGGGGTGGAGGATGTCTCCTTTCATAAGGAAGGACAGTTTATTGTTCGTTATCAGAAGGTAGAAAGCAGAGATGAGGTTGCAAAAAGGAAATACTACTATTTTGATAACAAGCCAATGTTGGTACGAAAAATGGTTTCCTGGGGCTCAACCAAATCTATTGGAATCGAATGATTTCCAATAAGGGTGCAATTTGATTTCCAATCTGGATGTGAAATATTGGAGCCTGTCAGGTTTGGGCAAGCTGGGTAGCATACTTGGTAAGCCTATTAAAAGAGACACGGCAACAGCAACGAGATCAAAATAGGATTACGCAAGAATACAGATTGAAGTTCAAGTGCAGCAAGAATTCCCTGATGTAATAGACTACGCTGATAAAGAGAATAGAGTGGTAGCTCAAGATGTGATATATGAATGGAGACCTAGCATCTGCTCTAAGTGTGGTAAATTGGGTCATGTAGCTGACCAATGCAGAAAGCAGAAAGAAGGAAAACAGGAAAGACCTGCTCTTAAGAAGATCTGGAGGCCAAAAATAAAGGATCTAGAAAACGAAGGAAGAGCCAATTCCTTTTGAGAGAACTCAGAAAGAGGATACATGTATTGAAGAATCTGTTGAGGAGTTTAAATCAGCTACTAATTCTAGAGGAGAGGATGATGGATTCCAGATTGTTACTGGAAAGAAGGTAGCAAGAAGACTAACAATTGAAGATTTGAGGATACAGGGGGATCCTCTAAAATATACCCCTTATGATGGACATTACCCCTTTCTCCAATGATCATATGCTGGAATATTAGAGTGTTCAACAGCCCCAATAAACAATGGGAGGTAAACAATATTATAAATAAGTATAAGGTTAGTATGATGGGTATCCTGGAGACTAAAATCAGGAAAGAAAAAGAGGAAGAAGTTGTTTAGTAGTTGGAGTACCTATACAAATGTTGATCATCATCCTTTGGGGAGGATATGGTTAATATGGAATAGTAATAAGTTGGTGGTGCATATTATTGATAGCTCTGCACAGGCCATCCATGGTAAAGTCAGGAGTATAGATAATAGTAATTATGACTATATTACTTTCATATACAACAACAACAACCCAGTTGAATCCCACAACAGTAGGGTCTAGGGAGGGTGTGTGTACGTAGACCTTGCCCCTACTCGAAAGTAGGGAGGCTGTTTCCAAGAGACCCCCGGCTCCACCTGCACAAAAATATGGAAGGGAACACAGCATAGCACAGATAAAGCACCAAGTACAAGCAACAAGTACAACTGTACAAGCAATAGCAGAAGATTCCAAACAAATACAACATACTACAAAACAACCTCTACAACACCGAGCTCCTATCCAGCTACTCTAATCCTAGTTTTCCAAAGGTTCCTATCTAGGGCCATATCCTCAGTCAGGTCGAGAAGTCCTAAATCCTGCCTAATCACCTCCTTCCAATTCTTCCTAGGTCTACCCCTTCCCCTACTTCCCCCGATAACCGTAATCCTCTCGCATCTCCCTACTTCCCCTTCCTATATTACTTTCATATATGCTTTCAATAATAATGGAGGAAGGAAGCAGTTGTGGGATAAGTTAAGGGAATATGCCTTGTATATGAATGAACCTTGCTGCTGCATTGGTGACTCTAACAGTGTTCTGAATGTTGAAGATAGATTGGAGGAAACCCTGTTTCAGAGGATGATACAAGGGTTTTTAAAGACTGTGTAGTAGATTGTGGGTTAGAAGAACTACCTTGTGAAGGGTCCTTTTTCACTTGGTCTAATAAACAAGAAGAAGAGCATAGAATTTTTTCAAAGTTGGACAGGGCTTTAGTCAATATTGAATGGATGAGAAGCCATAATACCAAGATTAAAATTCTGGATGAAGGAATATCAGATCACACACCATTGTTGATCAAAGATCTCAAGTGTCAGAGGAGGTGCAAGTACTTCAGATTTTGCAATATGTGGATGGCAGATGCAGATTTTCCCCATATTATACAGAACTATTAAAAAGAAGACCCCAATCAAGGGAGTAGGTATCAAGTAGTGCAGAATCTTAAGAGGCTTAAAGAACCTCTTAAGAAGCTACGCAAGGATAAACTTAAAATGATACATAAGCAGGTGGATGATTAGAGGGAGGAGTTGATGAGGGTTCAAGGAGAAATCAAGGCCCATCCTAGTCAGCATCTGATTAAATGAGAAAGGAACTAGTGCATCAGTTGAATGTCACTATTACGGCCTCGCATCAACTTAAACGTCAACAGATCAAACAAGGATGGATAACAGAGGGGGATAGAGACTCTAAGATGTTCTATGCTTGGGCAAGGAAGAGACAATTGAACAACTACATTATGAGTATCCAGAATAATGGGAAAGAAGTTGAAGGTACTGATGGAATAGCAAAGGTCCTGGAGCAGTTCAATAATAGAATGTTGGGTACCATTTCCCAAACAATGGATATTGACAACAAAACTATGGAGAAAGGGAATGTCCTTACCACTGAGCAACAACTGGAGGTAATAAAAGCAGGTTAAAAAAGCTTTGTTCTCCATTCCTAGTTCAAAAAGCCCATGTCCAGATGGTTTCAATAATGGATTTTTTCAAAAAACAATGGGCCTTTGTGGGTAATCTGACAACAAAAGCAGTAATGGATTTTTTTAGATAAGGCACAACCCTAAAGCAGATAAATGCAACATGTTTAACTCTTATTCCAAAAGTGGCCAACCCTACTAAACCAGCTGATTATAAGCCCATATCACGTTGTAACACTGTCTACAAAGTAATCTCTAAGCTGATCTGTATAAGGTTGAAAGAAGTGCTACCCCATATTGTTGATATTAATCAAGCTGCAGTCATTAAGGGAAGAGAACTCCTGCATAATGTTTTACTATGTCAAGAAATAGCAAAAGGCTATAATAAAAAATGAGTATCTCCAAGATGTATGATGAAACTGGACATGCTTATGACTCATTTAGCTGGAAAGCTATTAGGGGTATATTACATAGCTTGAAATTCCCAAAAGAGTTCATTAAATGAATCATGTACTGCATCTCCACCCCATACATACACCATAAATGTTACTGGGGAATATCATGGCTATTTCAGAGGAGGGAAGGGGCTTAGACAAGGAGATCCAATATTGCCCCTTTTATTTGTGCTAGTAATGGAATATTTAACAAGAAGTTTTAAAGAAGCTGCCCAAAAAGATAAATTCTCTTTCCATCCCATGTGTGCTAGGTTGAATATTATAAATCTTACTTTTGCTGATGACTTGATTGTAGTTAGCAAAGCAGATGCTAAGTCAATCAAGTGTATAATGACTGTCTTGGAGAACTTTCAGGTCACCACTGGTTTGAAGATAAATAAAACCAAATCACAGGTTGTTTTTGGTGGTATAAGCCAAACTGAAAAAGAGAAGCTGCTGAGGATAACAGACATGAACATGGGTAAGCTTCCATTTACTTATTTGGGAAGTCCAATTACCACCGTAAGAATGAAAGCTAAAGATTGTGATGTTCTGATCAATAAGCTTACCATCAAAGTTACAGCTTGGGGTTCTAGAGTCTAGACATTGATAATAGACATGAACATGGGTAAGCTTCCATTTACTTATTTGGGAAGTCCAATTACCACCGTAAGAATGAAAGCTAAAGATTGTGATGTTCTGATCAATAAGCTTACCATCAAAGTTACAGCTTGGGGTTCTAGAGTCTAGACATTTCTCCTATACTGCTAGAATCAGGTTGATTAACTCAGCCTTAATGGGGGTGGTCTAGTTTTGGTCTAGAATTTTCATTCTCCCCAAAGGAGTGATGAAAAAGATCATGGCAGTTTGTAGAAATTTCCTATGGGGAGGCACCTCGGAATATAAAAGGTCTCCACTGGTGCAAGGGGATGAGGTTTGCC